TCAAGTAAGTTGACTAAAATATTTACCCTCGCAAGTTAGTAATTATAACATATTTAGAATAGAGCTTGGGTTTCATTGGATACGGTGGTTTGGCCTACGTGTTAGACAAATAGCTCTGTTTGACTTGTCATAAGACTGCTTAAATTAAATGATTAAAAGGAAAAGTCTGTAAAATATATTTCACTAGCGACTCACTCTCACTCCGCTCGAGTTAGTCTACCGCTTAGTATAAATTTCTCAGAGATTAAATATTTTCCCGTAGTAAAAAGTAGCTTACTCGTATATGTTGACCCGGATAACCAATTATCATCATACCAGATTTCATCAAAATCTCCAGTGGTTTTCTCATGATGCGTTCCCAAATACATAGACAGACAGACAAAAATTCTAAAACCTATGGATTCGATCTCTGTATCGATAATAATGAATTCTTAATAAGATTTTCCAAAAAAATATTTAATCTGCAGATTCGATTCAGAATTTTATTATACGTACAGATTACGCAGTTTTTGGGTTGGACTTCTCATAAACTGGCGATGTTAACATAGAAAATAATTTGCGGAATATGTGGAAAGTTGAGATAAGATAGTGTCGGTCATCGGCCGCGAGCGAGATGTCCTCAGCTGAGTGAAGGCTTAAAGGGATTTGGAAGGAAATCTGTTCGGACGAAGTTTTTTTACAACTTGCCTCACTCGTTTTTTAAGTCTAACTTAGTATTAAGGGATAAAGTGAGCAAGATACTTTTAAAAGGCACTTTTGAATTAAATACATAAGTGATTGCTTTCATTTTCTTTAGGTTTTAGTGATATTTATTCAATTATTGCGTTCGATGAGCGAAAAAATAACTTAACAATTCATACAATTAAACCTAAACTATATTAAGTTGAATCTTTATGGTCTAACTAATTACATACAATCATGTAACATGAATCTGTATCCACCTGATGATGTCGGATATATTATAAAATAAATAAATAAATATATTGGGACATAACACACATCACCATCTAGTTCTATGGTAAGCTACAAGGCTTGTGTTATGGATACCAGATAGTTGATATAACTTTAAATACATACATATTATAAATATAAGCACCCATAACTGGAGTACAAACATTCGTGCTCATCACAAAAATGAAAGCCCGCAGCGGGAATCGAACCTGCGACCGCTGGCACAGCAAGTAAGGTTATATTTTTACAAAATAATTGCTCGCTATTAATAATGACAGAACTCACATAACACCACCATTGTAGTATTCTACACGAGCGGCCACAACGCCGCGGGACAATCTTGTCAAAATCAATTATTTGTTAAAGTTCCAATGGTTTTTATCCGACTTTCATACAGACATGACTTTCACCTTTGATTAATCATCGCTTCGTTCCCAGCGCTAATAGTTGACTGTCGAAACTTTTCCCTTTCTAATAACGATGCCAAAGGTTGAGTCATTCAGTTTACGTAACATACATATTTAGTACGATCAATTAAAGAAATGTAAAAATTAAATGGCAACATTCAAATTTTTTGTGTCCACATATTTGTTGTGCTAATGATCAAACCTTTTCTTAATGGTAAACTTTTGATGTCTTTAACTACATTCACTGTCGATTTTCTCATAATTCATATCTAATAGCTGCATGATCGAGATGGGCCCTACTACTGCCGTCTATGCGTCTCTCCTAGTCTTTAAAAGATTGTGGTTTATCATATAAGGCACCCAAATTTACGTAACTCTCGTATAGTTTATTGCTCTTATTATACGTAGGTATAGATTTATTTATTGTTTTTTTCTTGTAAATAGAATATAATTTAATACTAAACATGAATGTGCCAAAATAGTGTGACAAATGTATCATTTCTAACCAGCGCACGATATTATTAACAACTGTCGTGTAAAACAAATAACGTGAACCTTCTCGACGCGTCAGGGCTCGCATTTCACACAGATTGGAATAGTTGTAGCATCCATGTTTCAGTTCAATAAATCACGCCCAAATACCACACATTGTGTTCGACAACTATTGGTTCTCTATTGACTGCAAGCTTTTGCTCATGTCATACTAAACTCATCCAGGCCTCCCCCACGGACACACTCCTGCATACATGTGTACGTATGATACCATGGAGCTGCAAGTTCGTCGGTCAATGGGTCGGGCTTGTCTCTAGGGATTGTTCTCTGCTTGATCAATAACGAGGACAATTCGGTATAAGTATAAGAACTTAGATTATGTTTTATTGGCAAGAATAATCGAATGAGACAGCCTTTTACATTTTTAAGCTTCTGCAAATACACAAGTGTAGATGCAAGTTTGCATTACAAAGTTATAGCAATTATAAGCTGGCGCTGATGCCAGGTGATAAAGTATGTATACACGGTGTCTATATTAATAAGAAATATTTAGAAAAACGACTTTCCATTTTCAATAAAACTTTATCAGAAAATCTGTATTTTTCATTGCTGGAACTTGTACTCTCCTTGTGGAAAGAATATCCGTACATAAAAGTTTTCCACGACGTATAAAACTAAGAAATAACCTAGTTTTAAAAGTGGGTACATATTTTAAAAATAAAAATCTAGTTGAAAAGGATAGTAGTGCACTCACTTGCATAACGCTTTAAAAATGCCAATCGTGAAAGTATTTACTGCGCGTCGCTACTGTAAGAGTATACTGTACGGTACTGCACGGCTGCGGCGCGCGGGCTGCTCTCAACTAAACGTATTTATTTGTGCTGGCAAAAGTTTTCCTATGTAAAGCGGGAAAAAACTTTTATAAGCATATTTAAGTCAAACAAGCCACTGGATTGGAAAAGTAAGGTTTTTACTCAAAAAAGTAAATGATGATGATGTTCTCCTAGCCGATTTCGGCTACGGCGGCCAATCTCATTGAGATTAGCCAACTGCGCAGGAGATATTATAGTGCTCAAGTGTACGCGCAGACACAAGTGCACTCTCTATTCCTATCACTCTCATACTCCGGTGGGACGACCACTCGACACGACCAGTGAGAGTTAAGGCGCAGGACCGACGGCTTTACGTGCTCTCCGAGGCACGGGGGTGAAACACCGCCAACTTCCCAACTCCGGGCTGTTACTGAGACTTATTAGACAGAAAGACTCAATAACTAAACTTGGCCCGACCCGGGACTCGAACCCAGGACCTCCGGGTGTGCAGCCGTACATGCTAGCCACTACACCACCGAGGCAGTTAAAAAAAAGTAAATAGTACAGGTTTAAAGCAGAATTAGACTGGTTTAACTTTTTCTGTTTTTATTCACTTGACTGAATGTTTGCCTATTTATATGACAGATCATAAAATACTATACTAGTATTTATATATACTTTTTATTTACGTTTTTAACAAAGACGTTTGAATTTTCAATATTTTACTTTAAAATAAAAACACGAAAAGAGGTTTATTATTTTGTGCCTCTCAGCAGGTAGCGCAACAGATTGATGTAATACATATTTGCAAAGAAATGGCTTATGACTCATAAGGCGTAGGTTATTTTTTGTCTCCATTGCGAAGTTAGTGTTATAGATAGAGCTTGAGTAAAACGAGGTTAGGACACTAGTTTCTAATTATGTCTATTACTTAGTGATAAAAATCAATAAGACAACACAGGGGCGATTCAGCTTGGAGCTACAAAACTATAAAGTAACATAAAAACATTAATCGTTGAGGGTTTACGTAATGTTTTCTTATAATTTAGTTGCCGTGCGCCGTTCGCGCCAGTCGGCACTATCATATATTTCGCACCTCGTTTACATTTCACAGACTTTGAGGCACTTTTGTGCCAGAATTTGCCTTTTAAATTGCGTTTTTCAGGGCGAATCGCTATAAGGCATTTTGGGCTTAGTTTTTCATATGAAGAACGTGGGCGCTTTATATTTTGACTTTTTAACGCACTTAAAGAAAGTTAATGAAAGATTTTACTTTGATAAATGCTTGTTACTAGGCATATTAGTCTACATCAAAAATTGTAACGTGAAAAAATCGTATTGAAGTCAAAACTAGTACAATTTTTAAAATGTTTTGACTGAATATTAAATCACGCATCATGATAGATGGCTAGAGGGATATTAATGGATATTTTTTACCTGCTATGCTGTTGGATAACTATTATGTCAATTCGCATGGGCTTATCTCCACTCTCTCGAGGATCGGTAAAATTATCTACCCACTATTGAACTGGTTTAGCCATGTTAAACATTACCACAAACAAGAGTATATACCGATAGATAGACATAATTCTTTATAAATTATTTTAATAACGTTACAAAATATCTTTTAAAAGCAAACACACCATGACGGTTGCTTTTAAAAGATATTTTTTGTTTAAATGTCAAAAATTCGCGTCAATCAAATTATTATCTAATATATAAATATCTCGTGTCACGGTGTTTGTGGTCGCAATCCTCCAAAAGGGCTTGACCGATTTTAATGATTTTTTTGTATATTTGGTAGTTATAGAATAGGTCATAAAGTATTTTTCATCCCCCTACCCCCCACCCTCCATTTTTAATCGCGATTTTAGTATTTTTGTATGAAAAATACCCACATAGTTTAATATTATATAAATACATGATATACATACAGGACGAACCCGAGTGAAGTGAGGGTGAGTCTCTATATAACATAAGGCAAAACAGTTTCTATTACATTGAACGCGGGCGAAGCCGCGGGTTCTGCTTACTAATTAATATTTTTAAAATTGTAATAATTATAATAATAACAGCAAAAATTAAATAAATAATTTTCCATATTCAATTATAAAACTAATTAAAACTATAAAAATGTTTAAAGTTCAAATATATTGTAAGGTATTTGTGGGTAGGCTGTCTGTAACAACTATACTTTCGAGACATCTAACACCTCAGTCTCTCCCATGACCATGAATGCTGTAAAGCATTCGAAACGTCGGGAACCAAAAATCCAAATAAATCCACGAAAAAAACCGAAAGGATAGTTTTTTATTAAATTATTAAACTTTTCCCCCAGCGGCATACTTCTACGTGGGCTCATCGAAAACTCCGAGTGCGTCAGGTGGGGTCCGGCTGCAGGATGAGCGCGGAGGCGGCAGCCCGCTGCGAAAGTACCGAGGCGAGGGCATCACGCTCTCGCTGCCTGAAGGCAAGACACTGCGCGACGTCACCTGGTTCGCTGTGTGGTGTGACGAATACTCGGTGAGTTCTATTTATTTGTTTTCTTACTTTTTAGGGTTCTATAGCTAAAGGGCTAAATTGAATCTTCATAATTTCTTAAAGGACTTACGAAATTATAAAGATTCAATTTTAGCCGATAGACATCTGTCAGTTTGTCCATTTTCCAAAATACTTTTAAAGAAAATTATTTTTAAAGATACGTTGAGAAGTTTTTAAGGTATAGGATTTTTATATTTCACACGTTCGGTCGCAAAATAAACTTTGTTTATCATAATAATACTATGAAACCCTACCACAGACGGATAAATATACGTATATTATGTTACTATTTACAAATTATTATTTTGAAATACATTTATTGATACTAAGATTGTAAACACAAAACTTTATCTTAAAGTGTAACTGTTGTATTTCTCTCCTGTTCTTCTCAATAAAACTGCAATCCGGTGGTAGTTGAAGCAGCTTGGGCTCTGATTCCTGTCCGAGTAACCCTAAAAACAAAGGATTCTTAAGAATCTCTATATTTATGAACTGGTAACACGCAATATGAAGCTGTTAAATGCTAAGCAGGTTATTATCAGAAATCACGTACAATAAAGAATTTAAAATTACTTTACATTTTCTACCACTGTACGAAGAAAAGTTCGTGAGGCAAAATTATACTCTGTTAACTTTATGTATGTTGTTGTTTTTATAATTTCATTTCGTAGGAAAGAACAACAACAACAGATTTTAACCATAACACACAATGTATGTTCAATATAAGTATTAATTCGTAACCCCGCAACCTCCTTAGGTCTTTAGATACTTGCGCATTCATAATATTATGCTTCTGCAGTTGGCTATTAGGCCACATATTATAACATATTTTCCCGTGAGAATGAGATATTTTACCACTACTCTCTACTCCAGCCCTACAAAAATCACATTCAACTACCGTTTTAACTGTTTCAATGTAAAAGAAGCACAAACAAACATTCTTTCTGGATGACAGGTACTAATCTTATAAGAAAAAGTTAGTTTGTGAGTTTATATGTATACTAACGTAACTGGCGTCTCCCCCTTGTTTCTTTCGGGTTCGCCTCTAGAGAAATAAAAACAAGTCTATCCCAAGGGAACCGTACTTTTTTCTGGGGTTAAAAGTAGCCTATGTGTTCAATTCAATTCAATTCTCTTGCTAATGGCTTCAAAACGTGCCAGTTGAGCACAGATTACTTTGCCAATGTCACGTAGAAAGCCTATGTGTTATTCTGATATATAACCTATATTATTGTAGTTTCATTAAAATCCATATATATCCAGACATCCACACATCCTCAGAAACTTTCGTATTTATTATATTAGTAGGATCTAATGTGGCTTGGAAGAGGTTAAATTAATAAAAAGTTATATTGTCTCTTAATGCTAAATATTACTTTTTTCTGATAAAGACGAATGTTCGAGAAGAAATCGCTTTTATAATATAATATGTAATTCAGGTCGTTAGGGCCTGAGCAAAGCGAGTGTTGGGGGAAATGATGATGATCGATATTAGGAAAATATGAGCCAGCGTTAAATAGCGATTTCTTTATTTGCAAAGAATTCATTTTCGTTACTCTCCTTTGATTTTTTTTCTATAAGTAAAAATCGTATTCGTGTATATGTAATACTAGCATCGCCCGCGTTCAGGTGACCAAAAACCAAATTCTTAGGTTTTACACATTAGTATACTCTTACATTGCAGGTTTTACATTTTTCTCAGAAATAAGATATTTTTTCGCGGTAAAAAGTATTTTTTATGTTGACCCGGATAACCAGCTATCATCGTAGCAAATTTCATCAAAATCCCTGCAGTGGTTTTTCTGTGATGCGGTAACAGACAGACAGACAAAAATTCTAAAAATTGTAGATTTGGCCTCTGTATCGATAATAATGTATATTTCATAAGATTTTCCAAAAGATATTTAATGTACAGATTCGGCTTAGTTAGAATTTTATTATATGTATGGATTTCTGTTTATTTTTAACATATCATCGGAATATATGTTATAAAAGATATGAAAATATGTACACTGAAACGACCAGATGGATTTGCATCAAATGTACAAAAATATAGTTAGTATTCGTAGCTCGTAGGCTACTGATCTCTCTGGATCTCGAGACTCAGGGTTCAACCAAATGAAGCGAGGATAAGTTATTTAAAGTGTTTATTATTTTCAACATTTTGCCAAGTTCGATAGCCTTGCTTGCTGACACTAGTGGTGGTACAGTAGGCACAAACATTAGCCCCAGTCACTTTGCGCATGTACATATTACGGCTGCGTTAATGGACCCCCTGCGCAATGTCCTGCGGGGGTCTCTGAGTGTTCACTTAATGTCCATGTATTTCATTTTTCATATCACGGCTAGTTAACCGACAAACAGACTTAATTTCAGGGCTGATTTTTAATCAATCCCTAAAAGGTTTTTTTATGCTCCCTCGTCTCAATGGGGCGTCGCAGGATCGCTTACGCACTCAACCACGATGGCAGATCTGCCGAAGCAGATCACAACAACCATGGGGTTGCTCGAAGGTCCACTCTGCTATCAGAGAAGTACCAGGAGCAATCCGCATGGCATGGCATCCGCCGAGGTGGGCCGCCACCCAGTGCGTTTCTTAGCTTTGCGTCCGGCTTGATTACCGGTCGGTCGCTAATGAATCTCCCCACCATAATTTGAAGAATATTTTTTTAAACATCACAATCATTACATGTACTAATATCACGGTATGGAATATAAGTTTACATCTACCTTTATTGCGAAAAATGCCCTAAAAGAAAACAAACAGTTTATTTTCGTGACATGCGTAGCAGTAGCAGGTAACTGACGTTCAGATGTCGCGTCTCTCGGGAATTTGAAATTTATCCATAATTTTGTATAAATTTATTCACATATATGTATATAGTACTCAAACGGGGGAAGGGTTGGTTTATGGTGGTCGGTAATAGCCTATGTAAATATTAACTTCCTATATAACATTTTTATCGAAATGGTCCAAATAAAAAAACATATTTTCAGCCTGAAATAGTTAAAAAAAGTTACATTTAAAATACAATACTCGTATATAATTACATAATTCGTTGGCTCACAATTACAAGGTTCTATGTTACAATTTTAGTACTTATTTAGTTATTAATGCTACAAGGTTTTATGTGTCATTAGCTACAGTTTTGCAAAAACAAACCACTAAATAGCGGCACTTTAATTACAAAATATTCAATTTTACATAGTTCTATGTTGTTTTTTTATGATAACAAAATAACGAAGTTCTATGTAAAAATTACTAAACTTTATTAAAATTAACATAGAACCTTGTAATAGTGAGCCAACGAATTATGTATGTATGCAGCTCTTTTTACGTCCCACTGCTGGGCACGGGCCCTTCAATACAAGGTATCAGTCCATATTCCACGTGCGGATTGGTGGACATAGGGATAAATATTCTAAGAGATGTAGTTTTCCTTATGATGTCATTGTCTGCCTTCATCGTAAGACAAGTGATAATCATGTTGTAAAAATAAGTAGTCAGTATTAATTAATGAAGATAGTGTTCTTCATTAATTAATATACTTAGTAAAGTATAGCAATATCTGTAACCTGTAGTAGTGCTCCCTAGCACTCGGGTAGTGTCAGGTTTAGTTATAAATATAATGTTTCTATTGTAACTTTGTTTGACGTTAATACTTACGTTACTAAGGTAAACTAAAGCAGAACAGAGCGCTATCGGTTCCCAGATTGCTGCGAAACTTTACAACACATTTACAAACAATACTGCTGACATTAGTCATAAAATGATGAATATAATTTACCAGTTCCATTTTATTGATCGTTTACACACATTCATACTAATATTATAAATGTGAAAGTATGTTTGTTTGTTTGTTTGTTTGTTTGTTTGTTTGTTTGTTTGTTTGTTTGTTTGTTTGTTTGTTTATCTGTCCTTCTTTCATGTCGAAACGGAGTGACGGATAGGTATAATTTTTTATGTGGAGATAGAGGGCTGGAAAGTGACATAGGCTACTTTTTACCGTGGGTGATTATCTTATTTCCACGGGAAAACACATTATAATACAATTAAATGAATACATGTTTTAGCATCTTTCGAAATTCATCCCTTAAGGGGGTAAATTTTTATGAAACCTAAGTTTTTAGAGTTTTTCTTTTGTAGTTTTAGCGCGAGCGAAGCCGCGGTTTCTGCTAATAACATTATCTTTTATAATCTGGTCATAATATTTGTAACAAACAGTTCGTAGATTTTATTTTTAAATACATATTACTTAATATGTATGAGTAGGTACATGTAAATTAGACAGAGCTAAAGCTTGTTAGAAATATCAGTTGGTAAGCTGCAAATATAATTATTGTATAATTTCTACGAAGTCATACCAAACATCTAAATACAATAGACTAGATTAAATTAATTATTTCTGCTAATAAACTACTGCAGCAACTCAAACAGGAACGTGAGTGCATGTGCATGTGTGCACGTGGTCGCGGCGAACGGAAAGACAAACACGGCGTCAGTCGACAGAGACCAGCTTGTTGATTAGTTCATTAAATTTCAGTGATAACAGCCTACATACATAATATACATTCCACACTAGCGATTTAACCCCGCTTCTTTTATACCTCAAGTATTAGTTCAGGTTATAGTATATCTGTATTTATAAGTAAATTATTCACCCTGAGGGGTGCAACATTTCCTTCTATTTACATATATGCGTGGTTCTCCTGAACTTACTCACTAAAATCGAAATACTATTGAAAAAGTGATCACACGAAAAAATTATATTTCAACTAAGTACCCTTTTCTTTTTTGAAGTTGGCTGAAATACATTTTGCATGGCAATATTATAGTATTGTACTCTTTAAACAGGTACGGGTCAAAAGTCGGTGGTCTCTTAAAATATATAAAGAATGATTATTCATATTTTGAGAGTTTAGGTAATTAAAACACTTTTCCACAATTAAATCAATTTATTATAATTACATATTGATGAAACTTCACAAATCACACTTTGACTTATAATGCCTTTTCTAACGTCTACTCAACTCGACAGTCGACAATCAACTGTCCACTGCGCGTGCGCTACCTCCATCCAACCCTTTTTACCGGAACAAACAAATAAATGAAATTGTCAGCCGGAAGTAGTGCGCGCGTTAGTACAATATTTGAAAATATTAATTAAATTATTCTAAGTATCTTTGCGTAATCTCATTAAATTAAAATAATAATAAATTTAAACAATAATGAATTTATAATTGACGAATATTTTAAAACATCATACATATGGAATAAATAACTAAACAATAATCTTGTGTAAATTATGATATGATTCTAACAATATTATTAAAATTGTAGTATAGTTTATTTGTAAAATGATTTAAAAATTGTTGAAAGCGATAAAAAAATATCTCAGTATTTTTTTAATTTCACAAGTATAATAAAATGATGAATATTTAAAATTGAACAACAACTATTTTTTCGATTTTTTTTGCGGTTTTTTGATTTGATCATCGACGATTCGAGCGCTTTATAATAAACATGAACACGGGATAGTATAAAAATTTGTTAATTGGAAGTATAATTTACATTTATACTTATGAGTTGTTATAATAATATTAAATATTGTCTTGACCGATAGAAGTTAGAAATGAGACAAACAGACGTCCAGAGCAAATGGATTGGGCCGAGATAAACCTACTATTGTTCTGATTATCGTCTACTGCCTTTCATGAATACCGGCTTATGTAAAATTATGTTAAAAGTTACTAGCCATAAATATGCTTCACTTTATTGTTAGTAAAAAAAGGTACCTACTTAAATACATACATTTATTAAAGAAGGAGTTACCTTCAAATATAAAGTATTTTCAGACATTGGTTTCTATTATTTTGCGAATTTAAAAACTATTAACCAGATTTTCATGGTATTTTCGCGAAAAATTAATGACTACATAATTTGAAGGCTGGTGGAAACAAGTGTTAGATTTTCGTATCAAAGTTATTAATTTAAAAAATATATAAATGATCTTGACTCACCTCGAGATGAGTGTCTCGGAGGAACATAAATAAGGCTAAGTCAAACACCGCGTCAGGCAGTCCTCCGAGCTCTCCGCGTCTGGTGCGAGAGTCAATACACAACAACCGCCAAATATCTCCGAATAATCCTCCCTTAGCTTATGAGTAGTTTGCCTTCGAAATAAGTTTACTAATGTTTTTCTTTCATATGAATTTTCTTTTGAAAGTACGTCATATTAACTACATTGATAGCCGAAGCTTAGAGATGATAAGCAAACGTATGCTGTTCAACGTATATTTTAGGGTAATATTATTTCTATATAGAAACGGTTGTTTTTATAAAAAAATGTGTTAGTTTTACAGAAATTAAAAATAAAATAAATAACAAAAAAATAATGTTCCATATCATAAGATAAAATTCATGGGAATCATTTTATAGAGTAATATGTTTTTTTAAATAAATATTTTTTTTATTTTCACATAAAAGTGTAGAATTATGCAAATATTCATATACTAGCAACTCACTATCGCTTCGCTCGGATTCGTTATTTTCACCCCCTTAAGAGATGATTTCCGTGATAAAACTAATCTATGTCCTTTCCAGTGTCTCAAAATATCTTCTTACCAAGTTTTATCTAAATTGGTTCTGTAGTTTCGGAGCCTATTCGGTACAAACAAACAAACAAATCTTTACTCTTTATAATATTAGTATAGATTATAAATATTTAAACAGGGCCATTAACTATTAACGATTTCCACATTCAAAATGGAAGTAAAAAGCATAAATAAGTCTTTAAAAGTTGCTGAAATTCTGTAACAGCCAATAATTCCGTATACTTGTATTCATGCCAGATGCAGGTAGCAATTGGGAGCAATTATATAACGCAATAGATCGATAGCTCGCATTCAGGAGTCGCTCCGAGAGCAAACAAAGCGTCTGGCCCGAGCCGAGCAAACACGTCTGAACCCACACTGATGCTATTCAAAGGATTTAGTTAAGTGGCTTGATAGTGACTATGTAACAGTGCACTGCTCCTGCGCTCTAACATTATAGCTGCTGTATATTATATGTGGCTATTGATCATCGATAGTATCCAGTTTTTTCAAATTTTGTTACGTCTATAATTCTTGTAAATATTAATTCTCTATAATCACATGAAAACACACAAAATCCAAGAATAAAAATAAATTAATAAGAAGGATGGTATAGTTCCATTGTGCCCGGTGTTAGTTATATTATAATTTTAAATACGTAATAAGCTATTTTAGCTAACACAATTGCTAGCATTAGTTAGCGTTACTCGTGCGTTTTTGAGCAGTCGCGGAAGATATGTAGCTGAATGAAGTAATAAAACAAATCTGTAGTATGTTCTATTATATATCTACAAGAGTGTGAAGGAAAATATAACTTAAGCATTATAACGATATTAATTTTATAAATATACTAGCAGTACCCGCGGCTTCTCCTGCGTTTAAACTACTGATGGCTTCCAAACTTACTGGAAAAATTCTTCAAAATCGCTATACTGGTTTTGGACTCCATATGGAACATATGTAAATACACACATTAATTTTCATATTATATATTGATTAATTTATGTTTATTATGATATAACTAAAATGCAAAACATTAATTCTCAGATAAACTTCGGTTCAGTGGAGATCCCTCGGAATCTGGAGTACCCCAAGCCTATGAAAGTGGGGGCTCTGCATGGCGTGCACGGCGTCTCCTCCGACCCCATCGTCATCGTCGATGCACAGACACTACTTATACCCAATTTCTCGTATGATGGAGAAGCACCTGGTAAGGTTTCCATACAGTTGTGTAGATTTAAGTCTATACTTAGTTACGTGACTACTTGTTTTATAGCAATTACATGAAAAAATAAAACAAATCTATCCCATAGGAACCGTAAATTTTTTCGGGATAAAAAGCTTATGTGTTATTACAGACTATAAGTATAATCTATCTCTATTCCAAATTTCATCCAGATCCGTTCAGCCGTTCTGGCGTGATTGAGTAACAAACATCCATCCAAACATCTAAGTTTTCACATTTATAATAAGAGTATTAGTAAGATAAGACTTGCGACTTAAAATGCTCAGTCCACTCGGGTACATAGGACGGAGGGTCTCCTTCCAGGTCATAGTTAATCAAATCTATTCTTTTCATTTCTATGTGAAACCGTAACTAACATACATATCTACACATACACATACAAACTCTCGCATTAATAGTAGTCTGATTCAGGTTTCTAAGAAATATTATTTTCATAACATTTTGTTGCATAAAACTATAAAAAAGCAAATGTCAAACTTCAATGCTGTAGCGTACGTTATAATAAAAGTTATTTTATAATAAAAGTTAGTTTATTTTTAGTTATATGTTAATTTACGACATACTTTATAACAACAAATATTGCAGTAAAATTTTGTTTACAACAAATCATACTTTTTGGCAGTTAAAGTCAACCGGATACAATGGTAGTTTGCATATTCTTGTTTCCGGTAAATAAATATCCGTCTCAGTTTTTATCCAAAATCGACCACATGCCCCCTAATTTAGTATGTTATAATTTCGTATACTTTCACCAATTGACACTTTTAGTTGAAAATGTTAAAATAACATCGCAAGTCAAAAGCAATAGTTAACTCAATAAGCTACGTACTTTTACTGCTTGCCGTATTGAAAGGCACGTAACGAAACAATCGTCCTATCACGGCGCAAACAATCAAAGAGAGTGCGTCTCAAACTGCCGCTACGACGCGAATAAACTGCGCTCTGTACTACTGACCTGTACCCGAGCGACGTACTGAGAGGCATTCACTGAGAAATAAAATTTTATAAAAATGAAACGAAACTTTATTGAAATAAACTTATTACAAGCACTTTTGAATCGTCAATTTAAGGAGCGTCAGTGTAGTCAGTCCGTAAAAGACGTTATTCTGGTACACATGTAACAATATTTTAGATTTTTGTCCAGAACTTCACTTCAACTACCTTATACTCTGATGGACCATGCTTTTGCTCGTATATTATGCTGTACATAATATAAAAATAATATTTTGTTTCACTCTTACGTGAATCATCAGTCATTAAGAGTTCTACTAGAATCGTCTAACCCATTCTTATTCTATCCTCTGTTTCTTGCAATAACAATAACCTGAACATCATTTTGCTTAAATCCACCACTAGAAAAGTCTTATTATTATTAGAATCGGTTTATTAAAAAAAACTGACAAAAAATACAAACCTCCCTACTTTTCTATTATCTATAGATACTATAAATTAATTATATTACAAAGTGAATTACATCACTAAGCTTGGTTGTCGGCGAATCTACATGGCAAGTCAGACATAAACCTATTAAAACTAAAGTTTCACCAGCAAAGTCCGTCACAACTAAAAGCACAACTTCATCCTTCGCCAGTACAAGTAGCCGCGATGCCGCAGTTAATGGCAATTTAACCGCCTCGCCTCCGTCGCATCACTCGTACTGCTCGCGTCAAATAACAATGGCGTTTTAACTTATTTATTTTTAGGGTACCGTATATACTATGTATACTTGAGGAAAAATATATTCTCCTTTATTGATCATTCACATATCCATCTGTATGTCCGATTGTTGAACCTCTTCTATTTAGTACACAGTACATACATACATATATACGAGTATAGCGTTGACACCATACTCCGGAACCTTTCAAGTGATAGCTCATTGCAATGATTCTTTTAACATTGATGTGATGTGTGTGGACGTGAAAAGACGCGTTTCGACGTGGACTACTAAATGCAAAAAAAAATTTTTTAGAAAAGACTCAAAAACTCTTTTTGTAAAAATAATGTTTCTTCAAGGCGTGTACAAGCTCGTAGAGTTAGATTAATAATTTTAATATACTACCTACTACCTTCTTTATGTTTTTTTTTTGATAAATAAATATAATTAATAGTATACAAATTTAATTCAGTTCATTTGGCAGATTCATTTTCAATATACCCGAAGGTCGGCAGACACGAGTTCTGTGGATTTTTTAAGTGAATAGGTCTCAGGTGTCGTTTTCTATGAATTTCAAAGAAACTAATCTTTTTACATTTTTGTTTAACTTTCGTATGGAGAGAATACAATGTTACTTTACGTTATATTCTTTTCATTCACATCGAGACATGTCTTTTATCTTAACCAGATCAAAATGAATATTAGAATATCAAACAAAAACTATCTACGAAAATCAAACCCACAGATAGCGTGACATCAATGCCCGACTGCGTAACCCGCTGTGCAACAACGGTCTTCAATGTACAGTTATAGCACAATTTTCATTTCAGTACTCGTTGGTTTACAGCCAATTTGATAGCAATATGCAATTTTAGCTTTTTGTAGCGTTTACTTTGTGCATTCCAAACAAAGTAACAAAGAATTTTATTCGTTACTAGCTTTTAGATAGCGGCTCTCGAGATGTTTCAAAATTGTAGTTTTAGATTTGCTACACCGATTTAGATTAAACTTAGCAACTTTTTTAGTAGACTAAAATATAACAAAACCAAACTTTCCTATTAAAAATATGAGTAAGAAAATATTTCATCTGACTTAGATTTGTATTTAATACCCGCTCAATGTAAATTGTTTAAAAAAATCGCTCCTTCTTTGTACAAATTCGTCTTTTGTTACTGTTCTATCATACAGAGAAACCAATAGTTTTATTTGTATTACTCATTGGATTACACATTGGATAAGCTTCGATAAGGTTACATAAAATGCAGGTTGTATAGGCTGAGTCTAAGAATTTCGTTTAGTTTATAGGTGTTATCATGTTCGCCTTCACCTGTTGTTGTTGGTGTTGGTGTTATGTTGGTGGTTCGCTGAGTGAGTCATAACCAGAACATTGTGATCATGTAATATAATGTTTGTATTAATTAGTATATACTACGGTCATATTTTTGTTCATTTAAATATATCTACAGTGAATTTTTGGAATTATTTTTTTTACTTCTAAGCTCATAAAGTTCCTCTTTATTTATAGATACATGTAAAGTATAGAACTATATTATTTTATAAAAATAGTTTTTGTAGGTAAATGCTAGGTGTCACTGAATGAAGCCGTGGAAAGAGAGATCTAATATGGGACCGTGTTGCGAACTGTCTCCAACCCGTTCCGTTACGACGGCAATTTGCCCAAGCGTGAATATACTCGTAACATTATTCAATATAAAATTGTCAAAGCGATCCTTTATACGATACGACATCGCTGACATGCTTCAAATAAATATTCCAAAATTCCGGCGCCTGTACGAGTATTGTTCACGGGAATTTAACTCGTTAACATTTTTAAAAGCTGCGAAATTCTTTATATTTTATTATTCATAAAGGCGTACATGTGTGGGTGAGGAATAAAAAATTGATACGATAACTAGTCCAGAGTTTGAGCAAAAGTTTATGTAACGTGATCTATGTTGAGAACATGAAGTATTGTGATGATTGATCCCAATAAAATATTACACTTTGTACCTTCTGAATACTTAAATCGAAGTAGTTTGTATTTCTTTCTTTCCTTTTTATTCCAAACTGATTTTTAAATTTTTTGTAATTGATTTAGTTATCTTATTGAATACTTGCCCCAAAATGTCTATTTATTTTTTATTATAAGCATTCATTACATATTTCTTTGACGAACTGGCAACAAAAAATCTATTTTGTACATTTTTTTATTATTATATTACACGAATTTAGTATCCCCTTTTTTAATCTTGGAAAATGCATTTACGCATACAGATATAGGCAGATAAAGGCTAGAAAAGCCAGTACTACCCACTAAAACCTAACAAAATCTCTGCTGTCTTAATGGGACGTCGCAGGATCGCTTAGGCTCTCAACAACGATGCCCCGACGGCAGATCTGCCAAAGCCGACCACCATAACCATGCGGTTGCTCCAACAGTCCACTCTACCGTCAGAGAAGTACCAGGAGCAACCCGCACGGTACACCGTCCACCGAAGTGGGCCATCTCCCAGTGCGTTTCTTGACCTATTCTACCCTATGGGTATAAATTAATAGCATGCTTTTGCGTGGTTAAAAGACAAAGTAACACATAGTTTCTATTGAATATAACAAAGTAAGGGTTGGATTTAAAAGTCGCAGAGTCTGCCGATGCTATAATTGGCAAGCCGTAGCTGTAGATTGCCTCCTGCCTGCATGTAGGTGCTCATATTATGATCAAATCAATCATTATAATACTGTCGAGATACAATCGCGATACCAACACTCCACTACATCTTGTTAAACCGTATTTGGGTTAATATTTTCTTGGAGTGGGCAGAATAACATAAATCAATTGCAGAATAGCTTTTTGCTCAACTCAAAGGCATTTTTCAAGGGAATTTATTCTGACGTAGTGAATTCTCGAACGCTTCCTTTTATAATAAACATGAAAGATGTAATAACGCTTATGTGTTTGTATTGAACGAGATTGAGGGCTTTCAAGTCATAAATTAAAAGAATGTGTCAGTTTTGGCAAGATACATTAAGTATTAAGTTTTTTCTTCGGCACCTCACTTTTCACCAAAAATTATTATTGGATGTCTCTATCGGATCGAGCCTCTGATGTTTAGCTTACTATCATGTATAAATACAATAAGATTTATTGTAGAGGTGTGTCTAATATTTGTTTTTGAACCGCAGTTGCAATATTGTCGATAGGTGCTCTAAAATAAGTAAATTATTATATCGGACCACTATTTTAATTGCGATAGCTTGTTGCTCTTTCACATCGAAGCAGCTGGACAGATTTGGATGAAATTAAGTATACAGGTATCTACCCGTGTGGCCTGGAATTAAAAACATAGGTCAACCGTTGGCACAACCGAGTGAAGCGAGAGTAAGTCACTAGTTATGTAATATTAGTTATAATTATTTATTAATAAATATATTTATGTGAAACAGATGCGAAGTTCTGGGTGGGCCGCGGCGACAAGCCGTCCCCGCAGGGCATCCGCATCCCCGACGAGAACGGCAAGGAAACACCTCTGCGCAAATACGATAAGAAGACTATTGTACTTACTTTACCAGGAGTAAGTTTTGAAAATCCTAACCTCTTCATTTAATTATAGAATATGTATCACAGTCGTCACCGAAATCGATCAGCAGGACATAATCATATGGATGTTTTTAGATTGAAATAATTATAAAGTTTATTACTAAAAAATAAATTTTAAGTTTTTTAATCGAATTCCAAAGTAGCTAGAGATTTCTCGAGTGTTCTACACTAAGAAAAGTTTTCGTTATTGGTACATAGGTTAATATATTTACTATAAATTCGTATCAAGTAAATATATTCGTAGCAAGGTAATATTTCAAAACATAATTGCAGATATGATAGTTTGGTAAAGCGTCGAAACTTTGGGTGCCCTCGGGCGGGCGTGTGGCGAGAGCATCACTATACCTACAAATTTATAGCTTTTGTATATAGTATAACAGTATAACTTGTATTAAACAAAAAAATACGTCTAAAAAAATTTAAAATATGTATTTTAATATGCTATTAGTTAACTGTATTCTATTACTAGTCTATTGTAGATAATATTATTCTACTCATATTAATATTTAAAATACGTAAGTGGCTATTTGTTGCCTTTTACACTCAAACCGCTCAGCCCATTTTGAGAAAATTACATAAGGAAATAGATCACGTCACGAATGGGCTATTTGTTATCCCCGGACTGTTTTTACGTGAGCAGAGCCGCGGGACAAAACTAGTTCTAGTTGATTTTAGTATGATAAATAAAACTTAGTTACTATGATAAATAAAACGCTGGGTGTGTAGGAATGGGTAATAATATAAGCATATTTATTGTGTGCGTAATGTTAGGTGCATATTTAGGTGGTAAAACTTCAGCAATAAATGCTTATTTAGTTTATGTCATAATTTAACTAAGTTAGTTTTTGCTCGCAGCTTCGCTTGCTAAACATTTAACTTTGTCTCAATGTCGTTATATCAATATATGTATATGACATTATTAGCCTGAAGAAGAATCATACATTTATAATGTTGTTGTGAAAATGACATTAAAAAATTATAAATACAATATCGATATTTTAAGCACGAGTTGCAGTTTGCGGGTTGGGTCGAAGGTCGGTTCGCTATAATGGAGTAATACCTGTAACGGTTTAATATTTATATAACAATCTTCCTCCAGGAGCTGACAGTGTTCGACATTGGGTATTTCGCCATATGGTGTGAAGCATTCACTGTGAACTTCGGTGACGTGCAGCTACCGCGCGCCACCTCCCTCAATGTGCCGCCCAGTTTGAAGATGCTGGGAGTTTCTCCACAGGTATTGTACATTTTCTGTATTTATGTAAATATTATAAAATAATTTAACCACGTCGTTCTGCTTATCAGAGTTTCGTAGGTTTAGGTTGACTTACAATTTAGTAGTGTATATTAACGTTTGTCTAGTTATATATGGGTATTCGAACAAAATATATGGAGGATATTTGGGACATAATAAAAGCATATTTTGTGTTTATATTTGTATTGGTCTATGTTAAATCTAGGATGTTGTAGCTTATAATTGAACCAGATAGAGATATATACCCTCCGTGATGGCGACGAGAAATGGAAATACCCGCGGCATGTGCTTGAGATAGTGTCGATTATGAAACACTTTAAAATATCATTTAATTTAATTAATTGTATTGCGAATGTAGAACGATTCCAAAACTAATCATTAATTCGATTATTGCTGGTAATAACTTGTCACATTCATCGACTCTGAAATATGGCAAACTGTGACGCTTAGAAATGCTTACACGCGATGTTACCGAGGTGTTGAAATTTACACCTTATTTTAAAGACACCAAAGCTCAAATTGTATTAAATTAAAATAATAAATTATAGTTGACACAATTATTACGATTCATAAGTTAGTTATTGATGAAAGCAGTGGAAGTAGTATGTGAACAGTACGGCGAGAAAGGCTGGGATTTACTATTTCATGGCAATAATTTGTCGATATTAATAAGTATACGAGTATACACTAATTACACGCGTCGTGTTTTTTTAATTGGATGCTTCCCAATTGTTGTTTCGAAGAGTATAATTACTAACTCTCAAATAAAGATATTATTTTTCGTACAAGCCTTGTGGCCCATTTATTATTTATTATACATACCTATATGTATGTATTTCGTTTAGCATAATATGAGGGAATGACAAAGATTAAAAATGTAAGAGACATAACAGTAATAAATGAAAATTTAAAAGCGCGGAAAGTTAAAGATTGAATCCGCTCACGTGTTTTTTCATGTTACTCTCACAAGAGTGACACCATTAAAAAAGTAGTTATGTGAAAGGAACAGAGTTCCTTTCGCTGCGTGTGCCCTTGGCTCATAAATTAGACCATATATTTTTTTTAAACTATCATCAACATACTTTGTACATGTTGAAGCTCATAAGAAAGGCCTGCATAGATTGCACACGAATTTCTTATAGAATACATTCCTTAACACCTTTTTTTTTATCGTCGGGAAATGCATTTACGCATACCACCTGATCCCCCAGGTGGTGATGTGGGGCTCACCGCTTAGAAGAGCCTGTACTACCCACTAAAACCCGACATCCCTTCCCCCCCGCTTTAGTGGGACGCCGCAGGATCGCTTGCGCATAACTACTACGGAAACACTTAACACCTATGATTGCCTGTTACTTATGATATGACATGGATTACTATGAGTAAATAATAAAAAGTGTCGTGACGGTGGAAGTATTACACTTGTTTCCGTCTAGCTTTCATTCGCCAAGTGTAACGTATGATAAGGAACTTCGTTCCCGGAATAGGCAATATAATTCAATTCTTTTCCAAAGTAATAAAATTTAAAATATTTGATTCAGCATTAAATTATAACAATTCGATACTGAACGTCATGAGTCTACCAACAGTTCGGGAAGAATTGCCTCAAAACCGAGAAGTACTGGCGAAAGAAACTCAGCGGTACTTATTATTATTACTTTATCTTTTTTTTAACTTAAATTATAATTTACAATAATTCTTTAAAATTGTAGTAGCCTGGAGGCAATCACTTCATTCCCAAGGCATGCCATCTTCTATAAAATCATTAATTGTATAGTAACCTTTAGCACACAAACGTTCGTTAATTTTTTTTTAATTTAGCGACAGAAGCTTTTTGAATGTTTTTTGGGATCCTGTTGTAAAAGCTTATACATTGTTCATAAAAAGAGTTACTGACTCTGTGTAAGCGAGCTACAGGCATTAATAGTTTGTGTTTGCTCCTAGTATTAATGATAAGCATGTCACACTTCTTAAAAAGTTCGTGTATAACGTCAGTAATAAGTCTTATTTTTTTACCGCGATCGCTGTAGAGCTAAGTCTACTCGCTAGCCCCTATATATGGTGGCCCTACTGCAAATTTTCAATGGTAATACCTAAGAATTTACTACACTCTACCGGTTTTAACACTTCCCCATTTAATATTACACAATTATCAACAATTTGAGACTTTATCTATTGTGTCTTTTTTGTATATTTAAATAATAAATTATTGTAATCAAACCAATAGACAACCTTTGAAAGAGCGTCATCAATTCATCCGTCAAAGCAGTCGAACCTAATTATCTCAGGGGCTGTAAACTAGTCCTCCTCACATTCTTATATCACTTCAACATAATATAAACACCTAAACATATCAATTTTGAAGGTTCCTTGAAGATTAAGCATTTTAATAGATTAATGACATTGAGTAAAATGAATGCAATACGTGGACGTGACCCGCTTGACCCGTAAGCGACAGCGTGAAGACCATTAATTATAACAAAATGATTAATTCAAAACCTTTTAAGACGCATATTATTAAATAACTGTTATTTATAATAAACTATTTATCCTATAGGTAAAAAGTCTGTCTGTCTGTGTGTTTAAAGGGCTTTCACTGGCGGATATTGTGACTTTGGCAAGAGATATTGGAAAAATAAGACCACATAACAAACATAAAATATTATATATTTTTTATATAAATAAAATTATAATAAAGTTAAAAAAGCTAGATTGATCAAAGTCTCCAGCGTTACAATTAATTAAAACCTCTTTAACTCTTACAGTACGTAATCATTTCCTCGTGTCGTTCGTTGTACGATTTACAGTTGTAATTTCAATTTCATTTCAGGTATTATGAAAATCCAAGACTTTAATTACTTTTTTTAACAAACTGTATAATATTTCAGGATACAAAAATATATTTTAGTTATATAAAGTCCTACCGCACCGCTCTCTGTGTTTAATCAACAAAAACATTTTCAAACAGAAGAGTCATTTTGAATAGACATTGTTTTTTGATATAAAAAGAAATAATTTGAATGATACAAAATTGAAATGAATTGTAGAGGTCAAAGCTAAGTCGACCTACTTGCTAGATCCTATTAAAATTGTAAACGTTATTATAATGTATTGGACGTCGTAAATCAGCAAGTGGGACACGGCCGGCGGACATCACCTACGACGTATCGTTAGTTATGCTCGCGTCAATGATAAACACTCATTAAATCAATATCTTGATATGCAATCATTAAATTAATATAACACTGACTTAAACCCTCAACGACCGCGGACACGCCGGCGTTACAGCTAACAATAGATTTCTTAGAAATTTAATTAACTTCTTAGAACTTTACCCGGAAGTGTTAACACTTTATTAATGTATTGTTTGAGTTATTTTTAATGATATACTTCATCGTCTATATAATTTGAAGTCAAATTATTTCTTGACATGCCTATTGCAAAGAAAATTGTGAAAAAGTTATTATTTATACAGTAAATAGTAATAAAATATAGTAATATATTCACTATTTGTTAATTTAGCTGGATCTATACTCTACTAACTTATTTATACTATAGGTAATAAGTAAATACTACCTTTTTGAGCTTTTTTTGTAGTTTACTTCGGCTAATAAAATATATTTGACTGTTAGTTTATTCAAGATATTTAGATTAGAAAAGGTCTGTATAGTTTACCACGATGGTTCAAAAATAAGCCAGTCTTCTTCTTTCAACGAATTTGCTTACAAGTAAAAGTGTATGTAAATAAAAGAGTTCTGTAAATATGTGTAAATTAAAGATTCTTTCCTTTATCATAAGATCGCAAAAAGGCCACTAGTGTACATCTAGTCGGTGGAGTGCATCGCCGGTGGATGTCGAAATTAATTAAACCCCCTGTACTTGAATCGTTTGGACGAGTTCCAACCCCTGCGGAGAAATGGCTTCCCGATCTAAATCTTCTGTTTGTGCACGTAGATCATTAGGAAAATCGGAAATTTAAAAAAAAATAATTTTATGAAAACTATGAAATATTTGCTTTATACCGATTTAGTCTTAAGTTGGTAGTATTTTTTATGTCGTAGAGTTGATCATTAGATTTTAGTTTCAGTAATATATTTCTCTTTAATTGAAACCACCCTTTTTAATCAACACTTGGAAAAAAATAAATTGAAGAATATATTTACCATTGCGTATTAGCTGGGTGTAACTAGCGCCATTTTTTACTTTAACTACATATAGACCACAACATCAATATCTACTACGTACAAGAGTCGAATCGCCGATTTCGGAATATTGTTGAAATAAACTAATGTTGTAGACTTTATACAAATAATTAATGTATTCAACAATTATTTAGGCCAAATTAAATGTAAAGCAGAAATAAAACCAGTACATCTGCAAATGACAAATATCGTAGAGATATAGAGCGTGAGGTAAAGCGTTATCTTTCCTATGAATAGTATTATCGTTTTAAATGTCACATCCATAATCCACATACTCTATGCAGGTGCATAAATTAGTAAATCAGAATATGTTATATAAGTCTTTAGTATATTTGAAACATTTACTGATTTAAGTTAAAGATATAATATGTAGTTGAACGGCAGTAAGAGTTTAGGAATAGTTGTTCATAAAATATAGCTAAGTTGAAAAAAGTTCTGGAGATATCACAAGTCATAATGAATAGCTCCTTTTTAGTACATCGTTCAAGTTTCAAATATACCGACGGATGTTTGGCATTATTATAATTATATAGTACCATAGCCTCTAAACGTTCTAGAAACAATTTAATATACGCATACAATTTCCTTTCTATTTGTTGGACAAATATTCTGATACAGATCGTGACTAGTCTAAAGTAATATAATATTATATAATTAACACATAAGCGATTTAAACTTTTTTATTTTATTTTATTTTTAATTTTTAAACTTATCAAGAGCTTTTTAGGTTGTTTCTTCTATTACACCATAATGAAAAATTATAGTACTTAAAAAATATTTTATTAAACCGCACGTTTATTAAATATATCTCACATACCATCATCCACACATGTTATATTTATCCACTCCATCCAACACCCCATTCCCACTTGTTCTACCGAGCTTTCCTGTTGCAGAGCCGCAACAAGGCGCTGGTAGGGGCCACAACGCCCTCCCGCCCCCGCAAGCTCCCTGCAAGCATTCAGCGCCTAGACGCCACCACCTACCGCCCCCCGCACCTCCGCGCAGGACCCCCCGCGCCCCTCGACCAGCCCGAGGCGCACGCGCAGCACCGCCGGGACTATACCCCGTCACACACTCCTGAACAACAACTCATCCCCACTCAGTCCAAAGATGACTTTGAATTTATACGTTCCGAGGAAATTGAGCACAAGTTTCCCCATGAAGATGAGATCCTTTTCCAAATCAACCAACAGCAAAGTGTTGCTCGTCAGAATTATCAGCTTCAAAATCAACAGCAATACAGAGACCGTTCTACGGAGGAACTGCTTAATCAACAGCGCCTCTTTGACCAGCAACGCCGAGCCTTGGAGCTTCAGTTACAGCAGTACCAGAACATACCGTACAGTCCCGGGCCGCTGCACTACCGCCTCCTCCCACAGCATCAGAATCCTGTCGCCTCCCATTACGAACGTGACCTTGACCCAATTACCAGGTCTAGGCCGCACTGAGGCGAACGGTTACACAATCCCCACAATCGTTTTCAAACTCATCCTTTCATCTCATCAAGACTTTGGTCAATCTATAGTTAGTTTCGACACCTGCGATTGGCTCACCGTATAAACAAACAATCTCAAGTGTGCCCTTCTAAACGCTCCTCTCACCGCCGGCCTTGGTGGCATCTGCACGCGGGTCCGCCTCGAGCGAGGTATCCATCCCATATTGAACGTGACCGTTTAATAAATTGAAATACTACAAAATGTTAATATTAATTTAAATGTGCAATACATTTGTTAAGTGCCTTTATTGATGGTCCGCCATAGTTACTATACCTTTGTGTTACGATATTATTCATGTTATTAGATGTTTATAGTTCTTAGCTGTCGTGATTTAAATTGCGAAATTTGCCATAAAAGAGCCAGTTTTTATATTTATTTCGATTGCTTAAAATCTAGGATAAGTCTTTATTTGTATTAATATCGCCGAAACTGTAAGATGTTGAAATTATACATAAATATAATATAAAACAGCACGTATTCGTAATATTTCGTATAGAATTACCACATATGGACAGGGTCAAGAGCCGGCCCATAATTTGTTTAAAATATTTTATACCGATTCACATCTTTCACATAATATCTTGAGTAGGTATATAATTGACCTCTAATGAATAATACAACCTCTCTCATAACTTCTTATCGGTTTGAAGCAAAGTCCCTATAGTTTACTTAATAGGTGCCTTAACTGAAGATAGCATATTTAAAAAATAATGAGAATTATTTGTTATTTAAGAAATATTATCCTTTTGAAAGGCACAAATCATTTAAACGAACTTATGCGATATAGCAGCACATCTAAAACACTTTGCCTTTCGATACTTCGATCACTGTCATCATGAGATAAAATTTCAACCAGCTCGCAACATCCTGTGATAATAAAATTGTTATATTCTATATATAAGAGTGTATTATAAAAATAAATAGTAATGTGATTTTTTACAAATAATTTAAAATAATAAAAATATATTTTTCCGACTTTACTGTTGGCCAATAACGCTGTATTATGTTTATACTGTTTTAGTTTATTTAGTACAGTGCTTGTCTGCAGGCTGCAGGTATCGACACTTGCCTGCTAGGTACTCGTAGCTTTTACACTATGTTTATATACTTACATTATTATATCATAAGCGACAAATACTCAAAAATAAAGCTTGCCAAATATGTAGAGTTTTATTTTTAACTATCATTTTATCTTTTTGCGTTCAATGAGCTTCAAAACAAGTTTATAAAACTTACGAGTCTTACGAAACCATACGCACCAGTAACCATATACATATGTGTAATGTCCTCATCTAAAGCCCAAATAATATTCGCACGTCCTCTAAAGTCCTTGGTAAAAAGTTGCCTATTTTCATAGTCAGAGATTTTTATCTAATTATAGGTATATTAAATCGTAACTCACAAATACAATTTCACATTTATTCTCATTTAAACAGTAAATTTAATTTAAACGAATTAAGTACTTTATGCTGTTTTATCTATTTTATATCCATCGTAAACAGCCTGACATATTAAGTCTAATATAAACATTCTAAAACGTGTATTTCGTCGAATCGAAATTTAGTGCAATGTTTACTGATACACGCGGCCAGTATTGTTCCTGCTTAGCATCACACTCGGCTCGCTTGTCAAAGCTGTATTAGTTGTGATCCCAAACAGCTTGGTACATCACTATTAGCTGGTGGATAGTTCAGACATTTGGTTTAGAACATGCGACATAGTGTTGTACCGTCGGTAACGTTGCTAATCTTGATTAAATCAGCTGCAAAGTGTCCAACAAAATGATTAAAAATTGTCTTAATATAATTTATATAATACACATGTATGTGTATTTATTTAAGAATGGATTTATGTTAAAATTAACCAATTAATATATAAGAAATTCATAGTAATTCGAGGTATTTTACTACAAATTAGTACAGTATGCTTATTAGACATTAAACACAATTGCTAGCATTAGATTGGTATTACGGTAATTATTTATTGACACACGTATCATTTTAACGTCATAACCACAAGATTTTATATTCGACACTTTGAAAAAAAGCGACATTGTGAAAAGTTTGTATTTGCACACAACTCATATTCGTTTACCAAAACGTTGTCGCTCGAGCGCAGAGACTCGAGCCGAACGATTGCGTCTCCAACCAGACGGAATGCACGGCAAAGCGGCACGTAATTACTGGCTTTGTTATGTGACCTGCAAAGCAAACACTTGCTTACTGAACACTTGCACTAGCGAGCTTTGCATATTCGTATTATGTATGTATAACTAGATAGAAATAGTCAGCGATCGTGGCCGTATCCCGAAGACCTTTCAGTGACAGTGACGTGAAGCATGCTATACAACGGGAAGCTATTATAATAATAATAATGTCCTCCTTATTTTAGAATCTCACTGAGACTAATCATGTGCGCAGAAGAATATATTATAGCGCACAAGTATATATGAAAACACAAGTGCACTCTCTATTTCTGTCATTCTCATATTCAACTTTTATACCTTAAAAAATTTTAATGTCGGCCTGATACTGAGCAAATCTTGATAGAAAAACTTAATAATTATACTATTCTATCCGGGATCTAAACCTAGGACCGTTCTATAGCTGTACATGCTAGCCACTCGATCATCGAGATAATTTAATACAACAGAAAACTTAATGTAAGGGGATAAAAAGCATACCATATTATTCTACAGCTCGTAAGCAATATTTGAGCAAAATATTCTTCCGTTACTCTGTTGATGCGTGAAAGAAGGACATTTCAACAAACCTGCTTGTATATTTATACTATGAGTACGGGCCAGTAATCTATGATCCTAACGAAGACTCACGTAAGCTTTCCGGAAAAAAACTATGTTTTTACCAAATTTCATGTAAGTCGGATCAGTAGTTTCGGAACTTATTTGATATAAAGAAACAAAACAATCTTTTCCCTTCATAGTATTAGTAAGTATAGGTAATGATTACAATAGCCCAAATCCAATTTATTCACGAGTAAATTATAATTTTCAAGCATTTCAATTAAAATATTACCTAAAGGTTCATATCAACACGTAACAACACAACACTTAAAATTTTAAAACTAACACAACGTACTCGTATACATTTGTATGGTTGTCATTTCAATAGAAAGGCACATGAAAATAGCCGATACCACTCGGCCCGTGACCGCGACAGCTGCAATCCTCTCAACGTCGACAGAAAATTGAAAAGTATGTTCGAGTATACTTGTTAATATAATCATCATAGAAACGTGTTCTAGTTTTGGCAGATGGCTTTGCTTGCAAATATATAATAATAAATATTAATATTGTACTAAAAATATATAATGGTTAGTTTATGTGTGTGTCAATCGCAAGACAATAATGAAAGCCGAGTGGATTTGTATATATTCGAGTAAATATTACTAAGAGTAGATCGAAAGGTATACTTTATGGTATCTAAATAGCTTGCTTCCGTACTAGTCAATATTTATGGGTTAGAAATTAATTACAGACATTTAATCATCCTCAAAATAACATAAGCTTTATATATCGACAAAGAATAAAAACTTAATGTATTAAAAATTTACCCGCGCCCTCTTAAAATATTCATACAACAGACACTAAGATCTAATGAAATTGAATGTCGTTAAATACATTCCTAAGTCCGAAGATAACTCATTTAAAAGCCTTCCCTTTAGTAAAGCTAATAAAAAGTTGAAAAGTTTTTACGATTGTTCCCTCCAGCTCCTGCTCCTGCTGCTGCCTCGAACATCAAGATTTATTATCTCCTGTGATAATCATTGTCGAATAACCTTAAATTTTCTACAAAAGTTTGTTTTAATTAACTTATTATAAATGAATTTAGCGCAATATTAACGCGACTGGAAGGAAGATGTCATAGATGTAGAGTTCCATTCCTGGGCATTGGAAATAATTACATCCTGTTAATTATTGTGTTGCAAAGTGAATTGTTTTTATTTATGGCAAATTTATTATTCCATCTGCCACTAAACCTTACTATGTACATACAAACTATATAATAAACATATCTACCTACTATCATATCATATCATACTATGTGCTACCTTAAGATTTCTTCAAACATTACAAATTCTTCCATTATTATAATCCTCTCCATACATGCCCTTCGAGGGTTCTCAGAATTTGGACTTTAGATCAAGTGTTTATAAAATCAATTTATTAGAACATAACACCCTTTAATTCTAGTTGTTATAACAATCTGGAACCTCGTTACAAAAGCAAAGTTAGTACAATTATCCTAATTAGAGACGACTTTAAATATGATCTAAAGTTTGAGATTCCCGCTGAAAAGTTGAACTTTCCGCTAAATCTCTAATCCCAGCCAATGCTCTACCAATTTATTGCCCAATGCAAAGCCTTTGCGGCTAATTTCGAACTGGAACTCTCCATTGTTTGGTATTGCTTTTGAAATGTGAACTCAACTCCTTTAACATTAGAGTTTAAATCTATTTAGGTTCAAGCATATTGGGATTATTGAACACTTGGTAATATTTTGATCCTTAAGCCTTAGGTAACAAGAGCCATCTGTCAATATACAGAGTGCAGGTAACAGCCAATAAGGTTGTTACGCAAACGATGCGATGTTCTACCCTCATTACCTATACCACGGGATTCCGAATTGCTACGAGAGACCTCTTTTAAAGGGCTTGGTGTAGAAACGTAGCGTATGTGGTCGTGTAGCAAATATTTATAGTAATTGTCATTAATCTTCTTAAACGTTGAGCTTTGTTGCACGATCTATTGCGTGTTTTATGAAAATGAGTCGTTTTAAGTGGGCCTCAAAAGTGTATTTATTGATCTTTTTTGCTTTCAAATTGCATACAATGGATGTAAATCATTGTTGCTAGATATAGCTTATTAGCCGGAGAGTGATACAGGCTACGAATTCCGTGGATATTACGTGTTTCCAGTGGGATTCTAA